ATCGAATCTAATACCCAAATCACTATGATTGTATTAAACGGCGGAAATGGGAACTTTATCTCCGTTTTAAATTTAAAAAACATGCTAATGACACTTGGATTCTGATTTCTGGAAACGACGGTGCCGGGAAAAGGAGATTGGCCCTCACAATTGCTGAATCTCTTTTCGAATCGGCAGATGAGATGGTGAAGATCAGCTTGAGAAAGAGAGCAAGCGGAAGCTGCAAAACTCTTGAGAACGCGCTAAAGGAACACAAAAACGCTGTTTTTCTGATAGAACGGATCGATTTGGCGGATGTCCAGTTCATGGAATGCATCATAGATCGGTTCGAGGATGCGAAATTCGGAGATTTGAACAGTCGGCGCCGAGGAAAGAAGGGTCAAGCCATCTTCATTCTTACCAAAGATGATGAAGATGACGATGATGAAGAAGAAGAAGAAGAAGAAGACTGTTCTCAGAGTGAAAACTCTGTCATTACAATGGTGTTGAAGTGTATCAGTTCGAGTTCTAACACGACCAATCACAAAAGAAAACCCGAGTTCGATGTTTCTGCAACAAATAAACTGAAGAATCGAAGAACTGGAGAAGAGGACGAGGAATCAGTTGCTTGCGAGATAAGCAACATGAAGAAAGAGTTTTCAAGGCAGCTGAGTTTCGGTTCTAAACTAGATCTCAACCTGAAGATCGACGACGAAGAAGGCGATGAAAGCTCGAGCGAATCAAAGCAACAGTTTCTAAACTCGATCCAAAACCGGTTCGATATGTCGAAACATGACGAAGAAATCACGAAGGTGTTCGTTGAAAGGGTCAGAGATTCATGCGAGATGATACTTGGAGGGCAAGAAAGGTTAGATTTCAGTGTGGAAGAGAAGCTGATGCGGAAGCTTTCCGACAAATCTGGGTTTTTTCTGAACAGTGTGTCTGAGGAGTGGGCGAGGGAGGTTTTTGAAGAATGTCTGCTAACGGTCAAAAACGGCGGGAAGGAGGGCATAAGTGTAATTAAGCTGTGTTTTGGGGGTATAGATGTCATTGAAGAGGGGGCGGTATACGAGGATGGGTTCATGGGTACATGTCTACCAAAGAGAATCCATGTTTCCCTTGTGGATTAGCTTTGTCTTTTTTCTCTTTTTTTTTTTTTGTTATTTGTAATTTCAGTTACTTAAATTAATCAATATCGTTTACATATAGCATATATATATGTATGTATATATATATATATTGATAAAGTGTATATATATATATATATTTGCTTTAGGAAAAAGAAAAGGGAAGAAAATACGACCCAAGAAAAGTGGAACTTGACCACATTGTTCTTTGTGTAGCATTAAGTTGCTATCTTCATCATAGAATGTGCCTTTTTATTTCTGTATCCCTTTAGCTGCATAGTCTCCTTCTCTCTTTTCAATATTCCATTATCCTCGTTATAGTTTTATTTTAATTTTTCTGAAACGTTGTTAATAATTTTGAATTTTCTTCCCATCAGCCTTTCATCTTAACCATATATTTTATATTTCTCAATGCATAAAATGAGACTCTCAATAAGGCTTATATGAACAGAAAAAAAAAGTAATTCAATTTATAAGAGTATATTGGACCTTAGTTGTATCAAATATGTACAATATATAATTGTACAAAATTATATCATACATATAAAGATGTATTGTAAAAGGTTTCAAGTTCAAATATCTATTTTTAGCTTCATAATTTAAAAAAAAAACATTTTGTTTGGATAGAAGATAAAACTTCATTTGTTTTATACTTTCAAAGAACAGTTCAACTTTTTGTTTATAGTGTATCTGAAAAATTGTAATACAAGTTAAGAATCTATTTATAAATATAGATTGATCATGAGTACAAAAAGAATCTAATTATAAATGTGTTTAGTTTTGTATATATTGTCATGGTGTAGTGGAATGGTCATAATGCAGAGAGTGGCTCAAGGCAATGTCATGTCTGTCTACATAAAAACTTAATTGGAAGGTACACAAGCAATCATGACACCACCACCACCAAACACACACCTTGCAAATATCCTCCATTACTAATTAATTAACAATAATTAGATGCTAATGTACTGCCTCCAACACAAAAATTAACACATAGCCCTAACCATTTGCCATGCAATGATCAGTCTTCCAATTAGTTATATATAGTTTTAGTTATTAGACCCTTTCATGAATTACACTATGATGGCAACTTTATAACTTTTTGGACTCTATAGTCATCTTATATATATTTATATATATATGTGTGTGTGTATCATGTTATAGTAGCCAAAAGAAGGGACTAATCATTTTTCTTATCTATTAGGTTTTATAATTTGTAATGAACGTGGAAGCACATTCCCTCTCCATTACAAGCCAAGTAGTGCATTTCTTTGTATGTAGTTTAATTTATATAATTGGAAAACAAAATCATTTTAAATTATTTTGTTGAAAAGGTGTAATAATAATAATAATACCCAAATCACTATGATTGTATTAAACGGCGGAAATGGGAACTTTATCTCCGTTTTAAATTTAAAAAACATGCTTAATACTCTTAATGCTTATATTAATTTCTCTTAGTGGACCTTTTTTTTATTATCTAATTCAAGTATAGTTAGGATTTGAAGATATGATAAACTGAACTTTCTTTTGAAAAAAAGCTCCCCATTGTCCTACTACATTATTGTTATTATTTTAATAAAATTGTAATTAAAAATCTATGAACTACTTTGTCCTATCTCAGGACCAAATCCAACTTTCCAATTTGTTAGCAGCCCAAACCCACTTTGTCATGTTCCATTCACTTACCAAATTTATCTTTTTAACATCTTCCAATCAAAATAAAATATTTTGTACAATAGATGTCGTTATACATAATTTTTTTGTTATACAAAATGTTTTTTTTACTAATTAGACGTCGTTTTAAATTTTCTAGAAGATTATGTAAGAAAATTTATAATTTTATCTTCAATTAAAAATATTTAATTTCAATAAAAATTAATAAAAATGTGATTTAATAGAGTATATATAACTTTTTTATATTTTTTAATAATAGTGAAAAATCTAAAACATATTTTTTAGAAACTGAGTAATACCCTGCAAAACTACTTTACTGTGCTTTTAAATAGAACATAAATAAAATAACCATCTCAATTCATAACATTTTCCATTATTGTATACTTTATGAAGATGAAAATTCACTATAAAATTGCCTCAAATATACAACGAAGATACAAAGAAAAAAAAACACATACAGAATTTATTAAAGGGGAAAGATAAACAAGGACCGCCCTAGGGTTAGAGCTGGTGAATGAATGAAGAAAACTTGCAAAACAAGGCACCCCAAACATGGTGCAGAAAAGGATAATACAAGCTACTCTGTGGATGAATGTCTCTACAAATGCTGATATTTCATATTCATGTACAAGAAGGGACAATACCTAATTCCGACACCTGCATTGAGATCAACCCCAAGAAGACGGTGATGAAGATGAATCAGATGTGATGTTTGATTGTTCTCGAGTTACTTCAAGCTCAAGCAAGGGTTTTAACCTTCTTTCTACCTCGTTTCTTTGCCGATCGATCTGGTACATGACCATTGAGTAAGCCGATTTACAAGATTCCTCGTCCCTGAATGCTAATGTCCATCTCCCGTCGACCAGACCTTTGGACTTGAGCTTCCCATAGACTCCTCTCTTTGCAGGATCCAAGAATGGTAAAGTAGATGGACGGATTCTCAAGTGTAGCCATCTATGGTGCTTCTCATCAATCTGAGGCTAATAAACACCAAACGAAACAAAAAAAAAATGTTTTTTTTTGGGTGGAAATAGAATGATCGATTTGCTCTGTAAATGCTAATAGAAGCGAGAACTTACATTGCATCCACCTAAAGGTGCGGTGAGGCGGACAATCCCATAGTTAGGTTTCAAGGATGATTCCTCAGAAAGGATGATCCACCCGGAAACACCAGATGAGAATGCTAGAAAGTAAAAATGGCGTTCCTTGCCTCTTTCAAAGGCAATCCGACAGGGCACAGCATCAACTGCACAGGACAACAGGGCAACTCGAAAAGATCAGAATGGTTCCATCCAGATATGATAAGAAAGTTGGTGAAACAGGACATGTTTTTTTTTTTTGTTATTTGCAAGATTAAATGTAGTAAAGGAACATCTCGGCTTTTGTTCATAGATCACGTAGTAAGGCCTAACCTATTTTCAGTTCAGTGCCAGGTTTCGGGACCGAAACATCCAAACCAGCGGTTCTGGCATGAGATGTTTCGGATGTATCGCTTGGAGGATGGGTTGGAGGCTGTTCCGGTAAAGGCCTTCCAAGCGAGAAGATTTGGAAATGATGAAGAAGAACAAAGACCTGAAAAAGGAAAGGTAGATTTATCAGCCATCTATATCATACATGATGCTACTAAGAGCAATTCAATGTGTAGCACAAAGGATAGACGATACAGGGTTACACTGGTGGAAAAATTTAGTTACCTCTAGAAACAAGTATTATAGAGAAAGTGGACGAACCTTTACCAACTCGCACATTCTTTCTCCAGCTGTGAATGATGATTCGGTAACAACGTTATCTGCACAGAATTCCCAGCCGTGATTCGAGAATGGTTTACATAAACGAGGGAAACGAATAGAAGAAGGAATGGCTCATTCACGTTTGAAATAAGTTCAAAAGAGAAACAAACGGGCATGGAATATCCTACCGTCAGAAGAAGATTTTTCCAGCTGGAGAAGAATGAATTTAGGCTCTTTTCGAAGTGATGGAGCTTCAATCACTGTCAACAGTGACTTAGAATTAGGCTCAATTGATATATCATATATGTCTTCTGAAATTACTCTGAACATTTTACTTGCCTCTTTTGCACTTTTTCCATTCATCAAGCAGTACTGTAATGAGTAGATCAGGCCAGATACCCTTGATTTCCTGAAGAATTTCACTTTTGCGCTTCTCATACGAAACCTATTAGAGACAGTGTAATATTGTTATTACAAGGCTGAACAAAGAATCTGGTTGACAGAAAGAGAAGATAAAAAAAAGTGGGGCTCAATAAATAACATTTTGAAAGCGACATACCTTCAGCATCTCATGATGTTGGCAATTAAATTCTGCTTCGCTATAAGGAAGCAGTTGACGTAAAAGCCAACCACCATTCCACAATGTTTCCGCAGATACGTTTTCTCGGCAGAGAAGACAGACCAAAGCATCCACTACCTAGAGCAAATATCTTATTAATCTAAGACAACCATTCAGGAAACTTCAAATTAGGAAGCTTAGGCAAACAAAAAAAGTTTGATTTGTGTGTTATGCTTGTAAGCACCAATCACTATACAGTAACCGAATTGCTCATGCATTGCTTGGCTTTATTATTTCGTTCACAAACATTGATAACTTACCTGATTTCTATGTACCCGGGGGTTCATTCCCACCCCGGGTAGTGAGCAGCATAGTCCAAACTGCTCCTGTGTGACAAAGTTGGAGGAAGAAATAAATCAAACTAACACATGCAAGAGATTGGGACTAAGAGAGAAATGTCAAGGGGAAATTAGTAAAGTACCTCTAACTTCCGTAAATATACATCAAGCTCACTGCTTGTGCCATCTCTCATGGAACCATTTTCTGGTGAAAAGAGTTGCTCTTCACCAGAGGCCTCACCAATCAAAGATTGCTGAAAGAAACAAATACCAGATTAAGATTTTTGAACAGAACATGGAAAACATTTAAAAAATTAAACAAGATGTGATTTCCCTGCAGAAAAAAAAAAACAGTAAACTTGAATCCATGCAATCTCTAAATGCTCCAGCAGAAGTGGTTGAAGGACCAAGACTTGCAGTTGCAGGTGTCCTAATTCTTTATAATTGAAACAACTGAATATAATCCTACCTATTTGGGATCTGCTAGACCTGATATGAGGTTACACACAACACACATATCAAAAACAGTAACTCACCAGCAAAAGTTTTTTGTGCTGCTTACGCTGAGGAAGAATGCCAAAAGCATCTAGCATTGATTCTTCAAGTTCTACGGAAAAGAACAGCATGTAAGACATTCAAACCAGAAAAAGGAAAGAAGTGTTTACACAAAGCCGGTGACGGTACCTTTCGTTTGCAACAAAGTGGCCATCACAAATAAAGAACCCAGAGCGTGTACGTCATCCCCTTCCGAAATATACTGAAGCAAAGTCTCCCTAGTTACAAAAGGCATCAGATTAAGCCATAAATAAAGGATGAACCATTTAACAACATGATACTCAGCTTAAGCAGTAAATCGTTACCTTGATGTCAAATGTAAGTTGTTGAATTTACTTTTTGCGGTATCTCCAGTGCAAATGTGGGTACCAATGTCCTCACTTGATACTGCAATGCTTGAATACTGACCATCTTCCTCTTCAGAAAAGCCATTGTCTTGATGCTTGTCTCCATGTGTCAAACTTTCATGACCATGGTCACTATCAGGTTTCACCTGACAACTTGAAATGACAGCCTCTATCGGGCAGAAAAGAGCAGCAGCAGTTGTATTTGCCAAATCTTTGATTTTAACAATTCGCAAGACGCAACATAACAGATAAAGAGAAGTGATGGGATCGATCAAGACATCCTGAAACTACCCAGAAATCAATGGTAAACTAAAATTAGGATTATACAATGAATTCTTAAACATCAAAAAGTCTAAACATTCCCAAAACACATATAAATTAAATAATTGATAGAAAGGAATGAACAAAAAGGGATAACAAATTCGAAGGGAATAAAGGTGAGATTTGTACATTAACAGCCTCAGTGCATAAAGATGGAAGAATGTGTGGGAGAGTTAGATGCTGCAGAGTGTGATCTGTTACCAGCCTCCCAATATCAGGTATGCCAGCTGATATAACATCACTAAAATAGTACAGGGTGTCCTCAATCCCATCAGTGGCAACAAGAAGTTTTAAGCCCGAGTCAGGGGATGTGCTCCTTTATGAACAATAAAATGACAATCCTCAGAAGAAGAGCTTTCTGCCGTTGGAAATGAAACAGAGAATTATGCTGAATCTTACTTTAGAGTGTTCAAAACCATCGCGCTCAGATCCTTGCATTGCTTTTGGAAAAACAAAACTAGTTTTGAAAAGTACTCTGTGTGCGGAGGAGTTGCTACATAATTATTCACAGATTCATTTCCAACTGCCCAAAACATAGAGGAAAAAAAAAGGAACTAAGGGCATTACGATTTACAAGTTTTCTTTAAGAAAAAAAGATTTGCCAATGAAAAATGAGTAAGAAAGGATTACTCTAAGTGGACTCACCATGATAAACATTGAGAGTCAGGGCACGGACCGCAGTGCGTATCATGTTCTCTTCATGAAATGCAAATCGTATGGCTTCGACATAAAGGGGAAAAGAAACTACTAAATCCTAGACGTAGAAATACAGAATTAAAATACGAAGGCAAAATCAGAAAAATACTAGAAAAAGGAAACTGCAACTTAAACAAAAAATAACTCACGTTATCCACCTTAACAAGCAATGATATCGAATTCTTGTTCAGCTTTCCACTTACAGCTCTACACATAGCAGATAAAACAGTTACTTTGACATGATTAATAAGTACTTCTTAAAGCCAAGATTACAAATGAAGAGACGTACCTTAAGAAGGATATGTAGTAAGACAGAATCTCCTCATGTTGGAAGTCAAATGTATATGTTATTAGATAGTTTAAATGTTTGTTACTGAAAATGTAGTCTGCATGGAGTTTATGAAAGAAAACCATCAATATATTATGGCAAAAAGAGACTTAAAAAGGCCAGATAATTGCATCAAAAGGCACTCACATATAGCATGTTCACTTCTTAGGTTTTGGATCATAATACTCAAGGTTTGAAGCAACTGAACAGAAACAGTCACTGTCCGGCTAACCTTCAAAACACGCACAAACTCTCCCATTATTTGTTCGTCCATGAAAAATCTGCAGCAATCACAAGATATTAACAAATGATAAAGCTTAAATTCTGCCAAAATTGAAATATGAAAATCAACTGATAGCTAAGAGAGACTCACTCAAAAAATGCGGGGTCATGCTGATCACCATATGTTAATATCTCCGCAATTGATCTCAGTGCCTCGACAACAAAGTCCTTTAAAATGGAAACCCGTGTGAGAAGACTAAATCCTGACGTCGAAACAAAGTTGCTAACATGAAACGATGGGAACTATCGGGCTGACCTTATTGACCTCGTTAACAATCTGAACTTTTCTCAGTTGCTCGGTCAAATACCTAAAAGCCAAAGTTTAAAACAAATCATTTTTATCATCATCCAGTTTCAAGACCGAACCAAAATGGCGTAACAGTTGGTCAGTAATAATTTAAGAACAAGCATTTTATTCCTATGATCCAATTGGACGCAATGAAGATCACAGAAAATGGAAAGAACAGCTCAAATAGTGCCCTTAAACACTGTCATTCAGATCAAAACAAGTTAAAACTGTAATAATCAAATACATTTTCCGAGAAATACTAGCGAGAATGAGTATAACGTTTAGAGTCTGGTTCTGCACTTATCCATGTTCCATGATGCAATGATGCAAAAACCCTCAGACCCCAAATTTCACATACACAGATAATCTCTGTCACAATTAAGGTTAAATCAAACAGATATCAAATTATCAATCGCCGACTGACCTGTAATTACCCGATCAAAACAAGAAATTTAAACCCAGAAATTCCATTACCAACAGAAACCCAGAAATGGAAAGTACCAAACGAACATCAAATCAAACGGATCAAACAGAATCAAACCTGAGTTCGTCCAAGGAGAATCGATCTCTGGATCTCCAAAAGGAAAACCACATGATTATCACATCAACCCTCTTAATCTAGTTGAATCTGAATCATCTCTCAAAAGCACATAATTATCGCATCAATCCTCTTAATTCACTTGAATCTGAAATCATCTCTCACTCCCAAGGCGAATACAAACCCATAATTGCGCCTCAGTATCTCAATAAAACTCCACAAGTCAACCAACCGCAGAAATTGGCTTCCAGTCTCGGTTTGAAATGCTTCAAACGGAGCAAAAATCATGCCACTGAATCGTCGGGGAACGATGGAATTTAACCTGTTTCAGGTTCGAGTTTTTCGAACGTTGAAGAAATTCGGGAAGAGGAATTATGCAGAGAAAACTCGTCGGAAAGGCGAATAGAAGAATCGAAAGAGAAGGTTGAGCTGGCGTCGGATCCGGGCCCGAATCCGGGTGCGAATCCGGATCTGAATCCGAATCTGGAATCGTAATTGTAAACTTGAGATCCGGCGTTAAGTTGGGCCTTGGGTCCATCTATTAATTGGGTCAGGACCAGTGTGCTGTCTAAGATTCTCACCAATCATTGAGAGCCACGTCATCTGTACACGTGTAACCATTACACGATATACGTACTCCATCACAGTACACATGATTAATTTTACATCATTCCGTACGAGATTTAGGCTTAATTTGTTTTTGGTACCCCATAAATCATTTGATACTTAAAATGCACGTGGACTAAAAGAGAAGAAAATAATGAATCCCTAATAAATATATATAGTGCTAATAAAGTACATTATTCTTAATTATTCTAATATAAAATAATGAGAAAATAACATATAAATACCTAAATTTTTATCAAAATTTTATATAAATATCTAAACTATAAAATTTTCATATAAATATTTGAATTTTTAAAAATTCTATATAAATACCTAGAGTTTTAAAAAATTTTCCAAATAAATATATATTTCAAAGATTTTTAAATAAAAATAGCTGATGTTATTAGTAGATCTTGAATTTATTTGAGAGTTTTTCAGAAATCTGAATATTTATATAGAATTTTAGAAAAATTTAGATATTTATATGAAATTTTTATAGTTTAAATATTTGCAATTTTCATAATAATTTAGATAATTATACGATATTTTTCCTAAAATAAACATAATGAAATAAATATCAAATGATCTTTCTGGATATGTACATAATTTATTGTGAATATGGAAAGCGTATGGTACATAATATATAATTGACTAAAAAATTCCCAAAAAAGAAAAAATAAAACTTATCCATGTATATAGTGTTTGGCCACGTCACCCATCTTAGATTCTCTTCTATATATTTCCCTTTCGAACCGACAAACCCTCCCCCCCAAGCCTTTGAAAAAACCAACACTTTTCCACACTTTTCCTTCGTCCTCGCCATTCCCACAAGACAGAGAAAAAAACCCAGAAACTGAAAATTACAAAGGTAAAAAACGGAGAAAGATCAAGAAAGAGAGAAGGAGACAAGAGAATGTGTTTGGTGTTCGCGTTCCGGGAAGAGACGACGGAGCTTGGCCGGCAAACAGCGCCGGGATTGTGTCCGTACTGCGACGGTAAAGTATCGGCGGTCGACGTCGAGACAAAGTGGCTCTTCTGTTTTCTCCCTCTCTGTTTCAAGGTCAAGCGCAAGTACTTTTGCTCCTCCTGCGATCGTCGTCTCGTCTTGTACTGCTGAAACCCTTCGGCGGAAAGAGAAGGTCTGAGGGAGAGAGTTTTGGGTATTTAAGTTTTTGCCCCTCGTAGTTTCGAGAGGTTTCCAGATTTCCCCCCTGTAATTATGATCCGTTACAAACAACTCCTCATCTCCTGTGTTCCGTGAACTCTGTATTTCGTTGATCGAAGTTCCCGTACGATGTGAAATAAAAATAATATGCCTTCGTGTCGTCCGACTGTACACGCGTCGAATTCATAAAAACAATGTGATTATTTTGTTGAATTAAATGCTTCGTGGCAATCGTAAATTATTATTTTTTTAGTAATCGGGGTATTTTGGATCAAAATCCTCCAAAATTCGAGGTTCGAATTTCAAATGAGATATACGTTTTACGTTCTGTTCAACAGAACCGGTTGAACTCTTTTAGAGGTTTTACATATTTGTAAAATGAGATTTTTTACCCAATTTAATTGTAGTGTACGGGTTATTTTTAGGTTTTAATAAATATAATTGGGTTGAAATTTGGATAAATTTTAAAATTGAAAAAAATGAGTTTTATTGTGGGATTTTATGATTGATACGACGTCTGCATGTAGAGGACAAAAAAGTTTGATTTTTTTTTTTTTACCATATTAGCTGGACTGAAATATATAACAAATGTGGTCCTAATGCTCTTTTAATTCAAATCGTTCACTTCTTCGTGAAATAAATGCTGTGACCACGTAAAGTATTGGTGAAATTTCACCCAATCACTTGTATAAAACTTACTATATAAAAAAAACAATTATTGATATTCGTCGTCAGAAACAAATCGGGAAGTTTGATAATCAATGTCAAAATATAATTATATATCGAGTATTTATAAAACTACAGGTGTACCTAATTATTTGGTAATCAAAACTAATCCTTATCCATGAATTTGATTCACGGCTAAACTAAAGCAAATACAGTAAAAGTGAACCCCGAAACCAAAAACAAATTATGACATAATTATGTAAATTCTTTCCGCGACATAATTTCTAGAACTGAATAACAATTTTTGGAGAAAAAAATAAAACCTAAGTTTTAAAAAAATCGTATAAAGCGACGAGAATAAAAATATATACCAAACTGAGAGCTGAATATTTTGGATGGAACCCGAATTTTTAATATTACTGATATACATAATACATATAAATTGAATTAAAATTCTTTCAAATGAAACAACATAAAAAAAAATCAGCATATGCGATAGTTTTCTTATACATAAATGATTTTACAAAAGGAATAGAAATTTTATTATTAATGAAGCATCATCACATGGGAGCTCCTCTGTCACGGAATTATTCGTTGCAAAACGACATCATGAAACGACGTGATCGGAAATTCCGAATTAATATAATTCCTTATTTTTCCCCCGTAATATTCCACAAACAATCCAATTCCATATTTATATTCCTAGATATAAAAAACCTTTAAATTTGAATTATTTCTTCGTCGTCATTAAAGGTGGGGTGAAGTCTAATCAACTACCGATTTATTCAAATATAAAAGCGATTTATATTGGTTTTATTCGCTTTAATTTAGCGAGACGTTGACTATTTTCCCTATTAAATAAAAAAGATGTTTTTAATTAAATTTGATCAATCAAGCAGAAGAGTGTATAAACATAAAAAAAAATTCGGGGGCAAACTGTATAATGCATCGTGTTATTATTTTTATGAAATTATTTCGTTCGTTCATTATATTTGTCATGTATTATGTGGAATTATTTCGGGTTGTTTTGGCCTCTGTCCAACATTTCATCGAGATTGAAAGATGACGAATTATTATTATTATTATTATTATTTATAAATAAATTGGATAATGAATCTTTACACACTCCAATTCGAGGAATTCTAATAATATGTACGAAATATCATTAGATGAAAATTACATTACAATTAAAAGTAAAAGGGGCTTACATAAAATAATGTTTATCGTCCTTTTTTTCTACGGTGGATAAGCAAAGACGTGGTGGCCCTTCGGATATCCCTTTCCTCTGTTTTGATTTTGAGACGCACAACACAATATCAATTAACCCTACAATATATATATATTAATATATATATATATATGTGTGTGTGTGTGTGTCTGCGTCTTCAGATATATACGTGCATACATGCTTGTAGGGTTTTTTATTAATGATTGTATCTATCTATCTATACGGTAATAATCTACTCATTCAGATTAGGTATCAGTTTAACTATATGCGAGTACCTTGACGGTCCAATTATAAAGACACTATTTTAAACGAACTATATATATATATATATTATATCTTTAACCAAATTCAAAATAGATTAATCTTTGGAAAGATACGTAGGAACATATAAAAACGAAAAAGGTTGATTTTTGTCTAAGCACACGTGTTTCAGTTTTACCAAAATCAAATGTTGTCGGCCATGATTACAAAACGAACGGTTAAAATTGGACATTATAATGGGAATAATAAAATAAAAACTTTACTGTATCATGCCATATGCATGGCTGTTAGATCTAATTAATGCAACCGTTGAAATAACATCGTTTTAATATTCTATTTATTTTCGCAAATTCAGTTCATCCGACAAGTATTTCCGTTAGATAAGGTTTCGTGACAGAGAGACTCACATCATAAAATGATCTTCGGATTCCAGCCCTTTCTGTGCACGAAAAGCCGAATCTACACAGGTCCATGACCTTTACATTATTATTTACATATATTAAGAATATAATATATATATATATATATATATATATATATGTATTTTTGGCTGGTAATGTAATATCCACGACAGACATACCCTACGAATATTATATGGTTCACTATCATATAAAGAAAATACCATGATTTCATGCTTTGTACCAAAAAAAGAAAAACAAAACCATGATACTTACCCGCGAATTTTGCAGCAGCAATCGGGTTTTCCATTAAACATTTTTTATTTATTGACAATACTAATATTTTGTATATATATTCAAAATAAAATAGGTTTCCTCCAGAAAAATATATAAATAGTTTTAAGAATACGAAAAAAAACCATCAAAGTAATGTTTGATACTGACAGATACATAAAGTAAAAATAGGAAAATTTATTTGACACGACATTTCATTATATGATTAGTATATTATAAGATACAAAAGTCGAATGGCCACCCATTAATATATATATATATATATACGGTAAGAACTCATACATCATTATAGTAGCTTAGGGTAGTCCATCACATATTAATGAGTTACTAGTTATATATACATATACACACAAATCATATTCTCGTTTGCCCTATTAACTTGTGTGAGAAAATTAACCATTCTATATATCTATATGATTATATATATATATATACATACGTGTGTGAGAATTAACCATTCCTTAAATAAAACAAATACAATCTTCCGTACGGTTCCGCCGGCTCCGGCGTCTCCGATGACCATCGCCGGTGGCGCCGCCGTATCGACTCCTTCGTATTCACCATATATATGTGTGTGTATATATATCACAGACAGCCAAAACTTTTTTGTTTCGGCCAGACAGCTCTTTTTACACGACGTAGGTAAGAGATTTAGTTTGAGAACGACACGTGGCGTATGATAATGCCACGTGGCAAATTTAGAGCGCACTTTAATGCTGACACGTGGGGTCGAGGACTGACTGAGTCGTTTGGAATTATGTGTTAATCTCCTGGATTGCGCATGAAACTATTGACTTATCTCTAGAAGAGTCTTATAGTTTAATTTAATAACAAAAAGTCCGTAACATTTTATAAATATGTCAGAAACAACCCATCAAAGGACATGGCACAATCTTGTAATTTTAAGAAATAATCGAATATTATATTTGTGCCATCATCTCATTTCCCGTCCAAAATAAGTCAAGTCATATTACATCGATCTTTTGCTCTTTCCGATCAGAATTTCGCGTGTGCCTCTCTGCTCTCTGATCATAACTTTTTTTTCCCGAGAAAATTTTCCCTTCCGGCTGTTTTCCCCGAGAAAATCCTGGGTCTGGAAAGAGCCCACCAACTGATTATAGATTGTCTATCTATGTATGTGTGCATGCATGTATGTATGTATGTATGATCTTGCAAAGAACCCACAAGGGATTTGCAAAGTTTTATGATTCATTATTAAATGGGTTTAGTTACTAAACTCACCATTTTATGCTTAAATTATAAGACCGTCAGGGTAACTAACCTTACACAATTATGTCAGACTGTAATCAAAAGTCCAACAGTTAATTCCATGTGCCCATCAAATTCATTACGGGCCCCGTCTTGGCCCAAAATAGAGCTACCATGAAAGGCCCATTAAGATATATTATATTATATTATATTATATTATATTATATTATATTATATTATATTATATTATATTATATTATATTATATTATATTCGTGTGTGGAATTGTGCGCGCGCGCACATATCAGGAAGTTGAGACACAAAGAAGTCCACTTTTCTAAATTAGATGAGAGGCATTTATTTTGTGTTTCTGTATTAACGGATTAAATAACATGACAAACTCATGATTTTAACAAAAAAAAAAATCATTCTATTGGGACCAGAACCTATCAAATATTAAATTCACTCCATTATAATTTCCTTCAAATTTCAAAATACACACAGACACAAATATATATATAGTTTATATAGAAATTTAGTTTAAAATATGAAGTTTCCACGAAATTTCCTCGTTGTACCAAGTCTACCTATAAAAGCTAAATGGAAAATAACTTTTAGTACCGACTTAAGAGAAAAAAAAACAAAAAGAAATAATTATAGCTTCTTAAAAACTATATTAATAATTATAACTAGACTAAAATCCTTTTATAAATATATAATTATAGCATCTCAAAAAATTTAACCGATGCATTCCAGAAAAAAATATATATGCGAAACATTTCACCCCACCGATAATTACAAACATTAAAATTTTTTAATCTATGGACACCAAAATATCATAATTTTCGTACAATATTTTAATATACACGAATGAATCATAATATCGACACAAATATATAGTTAAATAAGATCGACGAATATTGAAATAAATTTTTTTTTCTATTAAAGTCTTAGACTTTGATATGTCATTGAAAAAAAAACTTAGCTTGGAAGTTATTTGATGTTGGTACAATATTAATAATGCAATAAGCAAAAATAATTGTGCAGGACAAAGGCATACACATCATAATTCGCGTGATTTCAATTTTTTTTTTCATTTGGGCATATTGCAACTCAACTCATTTTTCCACCATATTTTTTTTCAATCTTGTTTCTTTCTGGTATATATATATATTTTTTGGAATGAACGTTTATCAATAAATCGATATCTTTAAACCTTATACATTAAGATTAATTCTCATTCTGTCTGATGATCTCTAGTTAGAAAATGAAGATTCCGTCTCATTTAATTCACATGCTCCTAAATATTATATAAATAGTAACATGTGAACTTTCAAAATTTTGATATTAATATTCGTGAACTAATTCATCATCTCCGAATTTTTTTTGAATCTATCGGAATATCACAATATATATACATATGCACGTGATATGTGTGTGTGAGAGAGAGAGAGAGACGCATGCTTGCACTAATAAAAGGTTTTAAAGGGTGAAATTGATTTGAACACATATATGATAAGAAATCCACTAGCTTGAACATTTCAATGTGTATCGAGTCGGCGACCGACGTGATCCGCGTTAGAGAAACACTGTTTTATATTCGACATGCATACGTTAACATGTAATTAGTGGGAGGAGATCCAATCGTTTATTTTATTTTATTTTGGTATATGTGTATATATATATATATATATATATGTGTGTGTGTGTGGACCACAAAAAATCAAAATTCCAAAAGTTTGCCCTTCGACGGTCCCATACAAAAAAGTACAAGAGGTACTACCTACGATATGGAAATTTTATATTAGCGTAGAGTGTATAAATTATTATATTTTTGTTTAGATTTATAAGGAAATTTAGTTTTTTTGTACAGCATTAGAAAATCTATTTAAAATTACGTTACGTTTTAAAGGATATTTAATGATTAATACATTAATAATATGATTTTTAAATCTTGTCAAATTATTAAATATGATTATGTAATTGACGAAATTCTATCCTTTACAAACAAAATGATAAAAAAAAATTTTTCTCTCGTCATAATCTCATCATCTTTTTTTTTTCTCTTCCCATTTTTAAAATTTATTATGCTCATATCATCCCATCTTCATAAACATCACTATTATCATAACATAAACCGTTATATTTTTTTTTCTTCTAAAAAGCTTCCTTTCATAAAAATAAATGTAAACATGGACATTGAATCACAACTCCAAAATGTTCTTCATATTTTATTTTTAGACTAGAAAATTGTTTCAAAATATTTATCGATCCAAATTTATCATCATTAGAACATCCGCAAACACCGATGTAGAAATATAATTCCAACTGTTTTAATTTTTTTTTTATCGATAGGGATAAATAGATTCATTTTATAATTCCGATATTCATCGTATTAAAAATGCGTAAAACTACTCAATCACGATTCCGTATATCAAGTATCGAGGGATTTTACACATTTTTTAATACGATAAACATGATGATTATACATATATATAATTGATCTCTATTTAAAATGAATAATTATTAGAAAAAAATGGCGTAAAAAATGATTTGGAAGAGGAAGTTTCATGAGAAATGAAGGAAACCACGTGATGCGACACGACGCAATGTCATGGGGGGATGGGTGAGCTGTCCGTCCTATCGTTACTTTCAATTCCTCGTGACTCATTTTTCGGCTCATCTTTTTTTTTTTTTTTATATTAAATAAATTTCTCCTCATAACTCTTATAAAATATTTATAGTTATTTTTATTTTGTTTTTGTTTTATATTTATTTCCTTTTTTTTAGGGTTCTCATGTTTTTTATAGGGAATGTGGTGGTTTTTCTTTATGATGGATATGGCAAGCCATCGTGGTCGATGTTACATTAGCAGCAAAATTCTAAGGCAAGAAGTAATGGCATTTCTATGGATGGTGGGTTGTTACTGTGGAAATTCCTGCGGGTTTCATGGTTGACCCTCTTTAGTCCGTTTTCCCCGTAGTTTTTTTTTTATTAATGTATATTCGGGTTGATTATCTGATACATTTAGGAATATTTTATTTCTATTAATTTTAAAATTCGAATATCTTTTTCAAATTCGTATATATTAGGTGCTTGAATTTCGAATGTACTAGATGTTTGGAGTATCTATTAGGGGTGACCATTAAGATTCGACTATTTGTTTTTTTTATATTAACTTTAGAACGGATTTCGATTTGAATTCGAATTTTTGGGTAAAAAATCTGATTTTTTTTTTAAAAAATTATCGATATTTCAATTATTTTTTATTCAGATCGGATTCAGTTTTTTCGAATTTTAAAAAATCTTCAGTTGCGGTTATATCTTATTCAATTTGGTTATTCGGTTAATAACAAAATGAACCAACCATAATATCTATAAATCTTTAACCTCAAAATTTGAACACACTGATTTCCAAATGGACACACCACAACCGGTACGTTAAAACTCCTTTTGATCCGCATATTAATATATATTGAAGGTTCAAAATCCGTATTTGAATCTAATTTGACCGGATATTAACATACGTATATGATATTCGAAATTCAGTTTTTTTTTATCGATTTCTAAAATATATAGATTCATCTAATTTTTGGAATTCTAATATTAGAAAAAATGAAAAATATAGTCCGAAACAAATTATGGTTAAAATAAAGATTTTCCAAGAAGTGACTATTTTAAAATTTTATATAGGACACAGACACATACCTCCTTAATTACATATGTATCCATCAATATACATATATACATGCATGCATATGTACATAGAAGATAAAAGTCTAATATATCTAGCGTATAAACATGTAGAAATAATTAATGGCCATGGTGCATATGCGGATAAATAATGAAATGGTTATATTATACACATTGTATTTTTATTAAATGGAAATATTTTACATAATACATTTCGTGGGTATTTAATTTTGATCGACCGATCCGATGTCGGCACCAAAACTGTAAGGTAACGAAGACATGATTGCACATGTTTAGTTCCGAGACATGTGTCATGTGTTCTTTCACATCCATGGAATGATTAAACTCGAATTTTGAAGTCCTTATTTTGTTATGCCTTCCTGTTATTAAGGTCGTCCGTACCAATTAAATATTTTCAATCTTAAATTATATGGCATCGGAGAATTATATAAATATATAATCTTTTTTTCAAAGTAAATATATAAATTTTTTCTATATAACTTTGTTATAAAAAAAACTTTTATAAAAATAATATTTCTAAATTTCTATCTTATAATGACGTTAAAATATAGTTTTTTTTTTAAAGGAAAATTTAAAAAAATATATAACTATTAAAATTTTTTTTTTTGAAATTTTTTTATATTTTTCTAGAATAAACTCAATAATTTCATGAACTATCTTGATATGTTAATAAACACATATATTTTCTTTCTTTATTTTTTTTTCACAAATACCTAATATTTTCAAATACAATATTGTTTCTATTTACTATTAATATAAGGTTAAAAGCACCGTCCACGCCGTTTTTTGATACAAAGACATGCGCGTGATTCGACGGTGCCGACGTTTGATTTCAACTTATTAACCCTTCTTTGCAATGGCTTTAGGGTTTGATGTATATTATTATTATTATATACTCTTTGTCTTTTAATATTTGTTTTTTAATAATACGTGATTTGACCAGGTGAAGTTCGAATTTGGATGGAACCCACTTAACATTGAGCCACCCACTCGCTCTTTTAATATTTGTTGGTTATAATTTTTCCTTTTAAAAAAAAAACTAAGCCTATTTTATTTTGATTTCTAAAAATCGACATGATCACGGGATATGTAATGATGCACCGATTTTTAATTAAAAATAAAAATAAAAACTTTAATATTTTAATAGATATTTTTTTTTTGTATTTTTCGATGATATCATCTACTATATAACTAACCATCAACGAAAGCGTTATATTTATCTACTTTGTAACAAACTATCACATTCTTATAGTCTTGTTTATTAATTATTTATTTTTACGACTGTAATTGTTATATATAGACAATCGTCCATGTGTTTTCACGTACTTCTGCTATATATGCATTGCCGCATATACGATATTCCACTTAATTACCATTCTTTCTCAGACCCAGGAAAAATTATAATTGGGGGTAAACTTAATTTTACCATGTGATAAATTTAATTTTATTATGGAACCATTTAACAATTTTATTTAAAATTTTATAAATAATTTATTTTTGTTTTTGTAAAATGAATGGGAATATATACACATAATATGACAAGGGCATGCATGCATGTCATAAAACAGTAAATTTGTATTGTGAAGACTTTTATGCAAATACAAATAGATCCGGGTACACCCCGTTGTACAAATAAATAAATTATATAAAATCTTTACTGCAAAGTTCTCATATAAAAGCGTATATCAAAAAGTTAATTAATCATAAATACTCGTCACCCGGAAAACATTAAAAAAACGTATGACCCGTCGTAAATTAGAAAATTGTAAAAATAAATAAATATATATGTGTGATTAAATTTTATTTTACACAGAACAAAATGTCGCGATCGAGTGCCAAAAATAAACAGAGGAAAAAAAAAAGAGATTAAGAATATTGGTATCGCATATATGTCGGATGCGTATATTTGTCTGACAATTCAAAAAAAAAAAAAAAGATTGGACGAAATCAACTAGTTATTGCTAAAGCCGACGAATATTTGTTATCTTTATCGTCACTTATTGACCTTTAAGTTACAAAATAAATAAAATAAAATAGAAATTTTAATTAAAAGAAAATTAATTAAAAATAGATAAAATTTTGTCAAATATTCATACGGATCGGCTCCGGCGACGGTGAGAAGCGTTAATCACGTTCACAAGCGGAGGCGATAGCTTTCCCGTTTTACACGCAAGTGATAAGAACTAATGCTTCCCCGAAAATAAAAAATAAAAAATAGAAAAATCCAAAAATAAAAGTTACAAACAAATTTCGATTTCTTTATTCAAACCAAAACAAGATTTTTTTAAAATATAAATATAACAATAAGAACGATATTAATTAGTTGAACCATATGAATCGATTTCGGAAACATTGTTTTTATAATTCAACATAATATATGGGATTTTTTTAGTCAAATAACTCACATTTGCTATATTTGTAATATGGAAAAAAAAATCCCATTCAATATTTCGTGCATCAATTTTGAAAGTGAAAATATTCGCAGTCGATTACAAGACGATCCTAATATTCCAATTATTTAAATTAATATTAGAAATTAATTAGAATAGAATGGTTTAGATTCGAAAATTTGTATAATTATTTATTAAATATGTTACTTAATAACATGGGATTCGGTAATTAATTCGTTTATAAATTTTATCGACTTGTGCGAACGCGTGTTCATGTGCATATATATATATATATATATATATATATATATATAAACTAAAAGTGAAATAATATCTCATCCCTCGTTGGAAAAAAATTTGAAAAAAATAATTTCCTGGAAAAGGGCGAAGCAACTTTCTAGGAAACTTCCTAAGCCGAGCTGCTTTTTCTCTCGAGAAAGTGACAGAAAATCTGGAGATAGGAAGAAAAACGACTACGAGAGGCTTTGAGAGGAGGAAGACGAAGCAGCACACGAAATTTCCTTCTGATAATTGAGGTGGATTTTTTTTGCTCTTTTACATAATCAACAGTGGACTATGGAGTACGTTTCGTGCTTTTTTTTTGGGTGTAATCGTAGATTTTAGATTTTTCTTTTGCTTTTTTGTGTTTGTTTATTCCTTTTGGTGTTCCTCCTCCTGTTGGCTCGAATTACGATGCTGCCCAACCAGCTGGCTTCCAGATAAGCAAGTTTTGCTACTGAACCGATCTTCGATCGAACTGCCGGGGAATTTTTTTCCCCAGCAACATGTCTATTTTCCGCGATTGTAGTGCTAGATTTGTGGAACGCGTTTTCCGATGCCGGAGATTGTATGGATATGGTGAAAGGATTTGCTGAGTTGTTGTTAAGGAGTGGTTGTTGTAACAGTGAAAGCCCAAATGTGCGAGGGCTCTGGGGTTATTTGTTGAGATTAGGGTTTTGGAAGTGAGAAGTGCTTTCTCGGTTTGAATTTCGGAATTTCCGTTACTTGATTTGCTTGCGAATTCTTAATTTGGAGTAAGATTTCTTAGTTACTGAGTGTTATATTCAGTTATTGAGCAAGAAACAGGAATGC